CTGCTCAAAGCTATGGTTCAAAATCGACATTTTGCTTATCTCGAACAGTGAATATTTTATATACGGTCGAACCTCGTTGTGTCGAACTTGGATATGTCGAATTCCCGGTTGTCTGGAATTCACCTTCGGTCCCAGCGAATTTCTTCTATTTTTATCATCATTTACACTGGGATATGTCGAACTGGATGTGTCGAATTTTCAGTTGTCTCGAACCATTTGATTGAGTCCCAAGTATCCAAATTAATGAAATTCCCCTGATGACTCAAGCATTATAAAATAATGTACTACCGATATTATATATTATTTACAGGAGTATCTTACTTGATACCATCTACACTAGATGCTTGCTCGGTAGCTTTTGCTATTAGCATTAGTATTAACTGGACGATAATGTCTACAGGAGTAAATTGGATAAGTGATGACTACATCAATATGAAGACTGGGTAATACATGGTGGTGTGAGTTATGGGGGCAATCTACAGGAGTAGTTATGAGGGTAATGATGACAAGATATGGTAGACAGGGTTGTGGTGACTAGATACTGTGCACATGGTTATGATGACTAGATACGGTAGACAGGGTTATGGTGACTAGATAATGTGCACATGGTTATGATGACTAGATACAGTAGACAGGGTTGTGGTAACTAGATACTGTGCACATGGTTATGATGACTAGATACAGTAGACAGGGTTGTGGCTACTAGATACTGTGCACATGGTTATGATGACTAGATACTATAGTCAGGGTTATGATGTCTAGATACGTAGACAGGGTTATGATAACTAGATATGGTAGAGAGGGTTATGATGACTAGATACTGAAGACAGGGTTATGTTGACTAGATACTACGGACATGGTTATGATGACTAGATACTGTGCACATGGTTATGAGGACTAGATACTGTGGACATGGTTATGTGACTAGATACTGTAGACAGGGTTATGATGACTAGATACTGTAGACAGTGCTATGATGACTAGATACTGTGCACATGGTTATGGGCCTACATAATGTGCACATGGTTATGATGACTAGATACTGTGCACATGGTTATGAGGGCTAGATATTGTAGACAGGGTAATGGTGACTAGATACTATACTGTAGACAGGGTTATGATGACTAGTTATTGTGCATATGGTTTTGATGACTAGATACTGTGCACATGGTGATGAGGACTAGAAACTGTAGATAGGGTTAAGCTGACTAGATACTATGGACGTGGTTATGAGGACTAGACACTGTAGACAGGGTTATGATGACTAGATACCGTAGACAGGGTTATGGTGACTAGATACTGTGTACACGATTATGATGACTAGATACTGTGCACATGGTTATAATGACTAGATACTGTAGACATGGTTATGTGACTAGATACGGTAGACAGGGCTATGATGACTAGACACTGTGCACATGGTTATGGTGACTAGATGGAATAGACAGAATTATGGTGACTAGATACTTTGCACATGGTTATGAGGACTAGATACGATAGACAGGGTTATGTTGACTAGATACTGTGCACATGGCTATGAGGACTAGATACTAGCTATTGGTAGGAGGTACTGTCCACAGGTTATTATATCATTGATACTAGATATATTTTTTCCGTATAGATAGATCCACAGATAAATACAAAAGAAAATACCAGAAAGATTAAAGTCCGATTCAGTACGTTAAGTCGACTGTGAACAATAGCACATGAAAAGCATCCAATTTTTGCTGACCTCTCGTTCCCCTCTCGTTACAATAGACCCTCGAGTGAATGTGAGTTCTGTAATGCTCTAATATCCTTTCTGAACGAACCCTGCATTCCCTGGCTGCGTAAGATATCCAATCAGCAAGCGCAGGATGACTGCATGTTCTCGAACCCACGATGTGGCCAAGAGCTGCCTTTCTAAATCACTTGTACTCCTCCCGCCACCAGGAGAAGCCTCGTGGATGGTTTTGTCTAGACATTTCATTGGTCAATATAAAGGAACAATGAAACGACAAATTGTCTATCTAATCCATTGCAACTCGTAACAGAAACACGACTGGGAACAATTGGCTCTTTGCTTGGTTTGGGGGTGCACTGAAGAAAAGCTTAACTCTTGCTCAAGGGTTTCAATCACGTGTTCGTCGCTCAGATTCGTGATGACAAAATTCAGCTGGTGTTGTTTCAAATATTGCTGACCATTAACAGAATACAACAGCATCTGATGAATCATATACATAACCCATCGAACTTATGAGGCAGGACTGTGGTACTTTAGGTCAAATACCTGTGAGTGAGTGAGTGAGTGAGTGAGTGAGTGAGTGAGTGAGTGAGTGAGTGAGTGAGTGAGTGAGTGAGTAAGTGAGTGAGTGAGTGAGGCTTCTACAATATCCCGGCGGGGTCACCAAGAATGGAACCGGACTTTGAGGTGATATGAGAACATGTCAACCACTTGACTACCACGACCCCCATCCCACCCCTGCGCCTATGTTCCTGACTGTCTTAAGCCTAGAGTAGCATCATTACGGAGTATGACACAATGTCCACGATCATTTTCTGTACGTCAGTGGTGATTCGTTGAAGTACAATGTACAGGTTAGATCAGATACAGACAACATTTACATAACACAATATTTTAAAAAAAACGTATACACAATGTACACATAACGAATACACAATATATACATAACGAATACACAATATGTACATAGCGTATGCACAATATACACATAACGTATGCACAATATATGCATAACCTACACACATATATACTAAACGTATACACAACATATACATGACGTATACACAATATATGCACATGTTCACAATATACAATATATATATATATATATATATATGACGTATACACAATATATGCACATGTTCAGTTACACTGAAGAGCTGTCATGAGACAGCGAAAGTACTATGTATGAAACTGATATAAAGAAGATGATGGACTAACGTGGACTTTATTATTTTTTTATATATTACATGTACACCGAGTGAACATTTACCTCATTTTTGTATGTATATATATATATATATATATATATATATATATATATATATATATATATATATATATATACGTAATATATACTTTACGTCTACACAATATAGACATGACGTATACATAATATATACCTAACGTATGCACAATACAAACATGACGTATACACACAATATGTACATTGTGTATACACAATATATACATAACGTATACATTATCTATACATAACTTGTACACATTATATATATATATGACGTGAATACAACATATACTTTACGTACTCGTGATATATAAATTACGTATATTACGTATAACGTGTGTATAATATGTACCTGACGTATACACAATTTATACTTAACATATACACAATATATTCATGAGGTATACACACTATATACACGTGTACACAATATATGCACAGTGTATGTACACTATATAGAACATGGTGTATGTACAATATACCCATTACCTATACACAATGTACGCATAACGTCTACATAGCATATACACAGTCCACGTTTGTACATAACGTATATACACTGTATACATAACGTATACACATCTGTTCTTGCACTGCATTCAATTCAGCACCCCTCACCAGGTATGGTCACAATGTAATCACAACTTGCAGTGTTGTACTTTTTTTATGAAAAGCTACAGAGACTCATTTACATGCGTAAACGTCATTTTACACCGGTGAATCTAGTTTCAACATGGCATGACGCCTCTCACTCAATCATATAGTAGCAACTGGACACATGATAGTGTTATTTCCGCTATGCGTTTCATTTCAATGCCTTAGATAAGTTAATGTAATATACATTGCGTGTAGAGGCAGCCAACGATAACATCAAGGAAGTTTAATGATCGGGACACACTTTCATCATGTTTGACGGATAATCTCCCGATCAATACCTTCAGGGAAAAACCATTAAATTGTTTCAAATTTTTGTTCAGGGCGATAAAAATTGATGCACCCGAACACATCGAGCTATGTAAATTTGACACAGGAAGTTAGCGACTCGTGCAAGCTGACCAGCCGTAAGTTTCTGTATTTCTAGTTTCCTAAAAAAAAATCTGTTATCAGATAAAAAGTTCAGACGACGTGGATGCATCATTACAATTGAAAAGACGGTCGATCATATATTAGATGGAAACATGATACTCTACTGAAGCTAGCTGATGATTATATGAAGCATGCTTGATAATCGAATTCTGTGACGTCAATATGCCAATACTTTTATGGTTTGATTTTTTTTTAAAGTTTACTGTCAAACATTGTTCACAAAAACACATGCCTTTAACTTTATTACATACGTTTATATTAACAAACAATCTAAGGAGGCTGAGGTTTCGGGACATAAAAATAGAAAAATTACCTAGCTGACTGATACTAAACCATGCAATGGAACTGTAATTTCGTCTCGTAAACTGATTTTTAGAAATACAATTACGTGGCCGGTATTTCAAACGAGTGTCTAGGTATAGTCATACAGTTAACGGATGATGTTTACTTAGATCTTCAGCTTCGAGTTCCCGTCTGCCCAAGGCTTACATCAAAGCATTAACACTCAAGTCAAATGGTATCGAGAGACGATAATATGGCAAATGGGATTTTCCCAAGGCGAGGACATCTAAGCTATGCTGCCACCTGCTAGGAATATAACTGGTATTTCTGTAGCGTCTTCGCAACAAACCCTCCGCTGAACACGGATTTGAGTGATAATTAAAAAATAGAATAATGTTTATGATCTTATATTAAAAAAACAGTCATCTTGAGGTATTTATTGACACAACAAATCTTCCAATATGGAAACGCAAATCTTTTACAAACAGTGTCAAATTTGTGTCAGAAAGTGATTTAGTGATCTACTATGAATGTTGAATATCATAGGAGACAAAATGTTGAAGATTCCAAGGAGACAAAAACATATATAAATGAGATTTTCCAAACAGTGAATGAATTCCAGCGTGAAGAAAAATCGTCTAACGTGTTCGCAAAACTCACCTTTTGAACATAATCATCCCAGTGTCGTCCAGATCATTTTCTATTGCTTTCCAGCTCTTCCGGACAAGATCCACTTCTTCATTACTGAGGTAATTGTCTAATTCGTTTGCTTCTTTCTTCACATCACTGGATATATTGCAGCCCATGGTACACCCAGCCTCTCGCCGGCTTCAGCGCCAACAGTTGTCAATGATTGCAGTGCAGAGAGTATATTCCTAGCAAGTTACCTGCCAACGCAAAAGAATCCTTCATTATATCTCCATATCAAAGAACCCGCGGTTTCCACGATTCAGGTGCTGTGTCTAGCTACAATAAGTGGACGTCACAAGTGCCACCGCCTTCTCTCGCGTTAAAGTAAGCCTTGATTTTATACAACAATCACCCTATAGGTTAATACACACTGTGGGATGTCCTGACTTGAAATGTATCCACTCCTGGTTAAACAATCGTTACAACAATTAATTGTACACTAACTCAAGAGAGACGGCAGCGTTCAGTATTAAAGGAACAGTGGTATCGTAGCAGTAGTGAAGCGCCCTGTTCCTCGTCTCCACATCGTAGTACTACACGCGCTGACCAGCCAGTCTTCTCTTATGCCCTTGATTAACGTCCTCGGCTAAATCGGCTGATCCTTCTTCATCGCAATTTTGCTATTTGTCGCCGGGATCCTTGCCATTTGACGGTGTTTCTTTCAGAATTAAAACCTGGTTAATCCACCTGCACTGTACTATGTGGCGCGAAAACGAGTCTCAATTTAGGAGAGTGGCCAAAGTCGATTGTAGCTTCTCTCTCTTCTAACAAGCATTTGATGTCTGAGAATGAGCTTTCTGCAGCGCTTCTCGCCGAAGGGATAGTCTCAAACCATGGAAAAGTAAATTAAGCATATGCTCGGGTCAGCTTTGAATTTCATCAGTTTTTGGTTGGGGTTATAGTTTGCTTGTAGAAATTATTTTTTCGATTTGCTTTCCTGCGTCTTCAAAAGAGGAAGTATTGATTTATATCTGCTTGACTGATGCACCCAATACTCCGCTAGTTTTAGCTTGAACTTAAACAGGTTTTACATCTAACTCTGCCAGTGAAAAAAATCATTCTTATGAAAATCCAGGCCACTTCAACACGTTGTTTAACTGATTGCAATCTTGAGGTAACATTTGGCCTGCGCACTGTAACACCGGTGAGGCGATGTTTTGAAAATATAAACATGTAGTTTATAAACATTTTAGTTGTAGATAGAATAACATTGACGTAGTAAATTCCATTTGGTGGAATGAAATGAGTAATGTCAGCTTGTTATTTGTTGATTTGTTTGTCAATTTGATTTTGTTTATTTGATAATTAATTATGTACAAAGTTTGGATTTTACTGTCGGGCAGGGCAGGACCAAAGCGAGTCTCTCATCATGAGGGGGATTCGTGAATGAGTGAGTGAGTGAGTGAGTGAGTGAGTAAGCTGGGGAATCCATAAACGGGATTCACGCAATGTACCCATGTGGGGAATCGAACTCGGCATTCAGATCGACGAGCGAACACTTTGACCACAACGCTACCCCACCCCCTTATTGTGATTAACAATGTGATAAACTATGTATGTAATATCACAACACAGTTCAACAAAGTATTGCAACCTTGGACATTCTAGTTCATATTCCTTACAAAAATCTAAGCATTCCCCATTACCCTTTCGATTCTGTGGACATTAAACAACACATGTACTCTGTATATGCTATGCCACATCACCTCTAATATAATATAAAACCATCGATTGTATTTAACCAATCATATCCCTGCTATGTTAGAATAGAATTTACATTGAAGTATCTCCTTCAAATGAAACATTCACCTGTGCACTTTCAGAACTGCCTAAGGCGTATATCAACTAACATGCAATTTTTTTATATTTCTGTTTGATTGTGAGCAGCCATCATCATATTTCACGTTCCTATAATAGCTTTTATAACCACGAAAAAGGAACAGGAACTGGAGGAAACAGATGGCATACAGTTCTTGTTCAATGTAAGGTCGGTTTACGCCGCTCAAAGTACGATGACTGTTAACATACGTCCATAGGAAACTGATTTCATTTTTGTAAACTTCATTAAATTTTATCAGATAATATTTCACAAATGTTGGTTATTGATATATGTTGTAATGTAATTGTAATGGGTAATATTGCACTTAAAACGTCCTTGAAACATGAATAGTGCTTCCTGATTCAGGAAGAATTGTGAACTATGAACTTCCCTGCGTGCGGTAAGGTAATTATTCGAATTGTAAACAGTGTGGCTGCTATCACCAACTTTAGAAACCTACTTCGAGTGGGTTATGGGGTAGCGTGGTGGTTAGAGCGTTCGCTTGTCACGCGGAAGCCCAGGTACAAAGGTACAAAGTGTGAAACCCATTTGAATTGCTTTCCCGTGAATTTGCTGGAAGGTATTAGCGGCCTTAAACCGTACTTAATCACTCAATAAAACCAGCAAACCTTGACGTGACGTGGTAGCATGTTTTAAAACTGATTTGTTTTCCTTTTTCAGTTGGCAGGGAATGTATTCACACAAAAAACGTCCGCAAAATATATGTTAGAAATGAAGGTTTTTCCTGGACACAATTAAACACAATACTACTCATCGCCATCCAAATGTGATACGAATGTTTGAATAACGCCACAAGCATGTGTATGGTGTTGACAAATGTAGACGTTACTCGTGTGTTTGTAGCATATACATTTGAACACACAGCGGAATGTTGCTATAAACGCCGTTAAAGAAGCCGAGCCCAAGACTTCGACGTGGCGGTCGAACAGCGCCCCCCAAACAATGAGAAAACGTAACACAAGCAATGAAGTGTGTTCTATAAGAATCAAATCTGGAATACGGGTGCTTGATATTTGCTGTCGTGTATTGCGATACCCCATGCATGACGCTGGGTCACACACAACTGAAACGATTAACATCGAGACCAATAGCAAGAAGTTCTCTCTCCCCGAGCCTTGCTCCAAGGCTGCACTGAAAGATAAACCCACGGATGTGTAGGAATTCTATCCTCCTAATAGGCAAGTCTAGATATGTGGACAGTACCAGGTCTTCCGTCTCTTAAAGGGACCAACTGTTCTTTGTATTTACATCATCTAGAAATTATTATTTAAGCTACATTTAATTATTGCCTTAGAGACTTCTGCAAGTCTATAACGCCCGCAAAGACTTGACTAGTATGGATTTCTTCCTGTCCATACATCTGGCTCGACACTTATCTCCCGACTAACTGCCTGGACGTTAGACTCCATGGTACTGACCCGTTAATCTCTGTCCAACACTTACAGTGGACTGTGTATATTTCTCCGTGGGCCCATGAATAGCCTGTTGTTATTGTAAAACACGATGCTCCCTCGCCAAGGAATGATGTGTTTTGAACTAAGGCTTTCAGCTTTGAGCAAAACAAGGTTGTTCTGGTATATGTTGAAGCGAGGGGTCAAGTATTTGTGCATCTGTGATGGGAGAAATATCGAATGTTTTGTTTTCTGGTGAGAGAGGGATGTAACAGAAAATTTGTATGTGTGTCTGTGAGTGCGCGTGTTTGTGTGTGTGCGTGCGTGCATGCGTGTCTGTGTGTGTTTCGCTGTGTGTATGTGTGTGGATGGGTATTTAAGGAAACGAATAAATATATATTCGCCTGTCCCTCGCACAATACTTTTATACTTTAACATAATAACCGGCGTTGGTATATGATTTCGTTTTAAAGGTATTTCTCGACTAAAATATGCATTGTTCCCCAAGTGAGTGGGTTTTTTTATTTGGAATTAGTGCTACACCTGACAATATACCAACGTATAACAAAAGCATTTACATTAAATGCGCAATTGTCAACGACATACAACTTCTAAACACAGTAATTACAAAAAAATTGTAATGTTTAAGAGTACATAAGTATAATCTTATCAATCATATCTGTTCCTGGTTGAAAACACAATCATCCCCGACAAAAACTCTGTAAACACAATCACCTCCGATAAAAGCACTGAAAATACTCACGTAAGATACTTGAGAACTGCACCTAAGACGTCTCATATAAACATCTCTTATCCGTTACCTAGTTACAGGTAGAAAAGATGAGACAACCGATATAAACGTATTAACAGCTTTACTGTTATACTGCAGTTAAAAATCCGCGTTGTATAACTTTGAATCATACGAGCTTTGAGCAAACCGAAATGAAGCTCGTACTTGTCAGTGGAAATGAATAACTTGTTTCCTGTTGCAAGCAACTATTTCCGGGTTTGATCACTGCCCTGCTGTTAAATTCAAAAGAATGACTTTGAGTTATTTCAACATGAATGAAATATAATTAAAGATACTGTAATAGAAACAGCTACCGTATTATTTGTTAAGATTGTCATCCACAAATGTTTCATTGATAGCTCCTTAAAGTCAAAATCCCAGGAATTTTACCATTATTGTAACAGTGAAAATAACCTTACCAAGCTACTGTATCTTTCAGGAGCATGATGAGGTACATTGTTCGTATTTGGTAGGACCATAACTCTCTCTTTGATTATCAGCGAAATTTCCAGTTTACCTATGCCATCTCGCCATGCTTCCATTACATAAGCATACACGGGAGAAATGTCTTTTTACAACGTAACCAAGCACATAGTATGAAATCCTTCTTGATATTAACGGGTGGAGAGTGGAATTTAAAATATATTGGTAAAATTATCCAGTGTTCGCCTTTAAGTAATGAAACGACGTGCATAACTACATGTATGTTGGTTGGAGTGGATACACACATACACACGCACAGACACACACACATATACACACAAAGGCACAGGCATATACAGACACACAGAGGCACGCACACACATACAGACACAGACACATACACACACATGCATACACACACAGTAACAGACAGACACAGAGACACACGCACATACATACATACATACATACATACATACATACATAGGCACAGACACATAGACACACATGCACACATACAGACATGCACACAAATACACACATATATACATATACATACATACAAAAACATACACACATACATACATACATACATACATACATACATACATACATACATGTACATACACACACACATACATGTACGCAGGCACGCACGCACGCACATCACAGAGGAGTAAGCCCTGTCCGCTGTTTACAACGCTGCAAGGGTCATGCGACCATATGTGAAGTGAAGCTTCTTTTCCGGTACTTCAGATCGGTCGTTAGTCAAGAAACGCTCTCCTCCCAACAGCCAGTTTCGACGTCAATTGGGATATAATTACAGTGCGCGTCGCTCGCCAAAACCAGGCCGTGTGTTGGAGACACTGCCACCGAAACAACAATTACAGCCGTCAACAAAACGTCACAATCATACGATAGGAAATTCCAATAGAAACAGAAATAATTGTCCTAATTTATTCGTGGAATCCGGGAATCTATCTCGTTGCCCCAAACGCCAGTGGTGACGGTTTGGTATGTGCTACCCATGGCGCTTGGGCAGAAGTCTTGTAAAAGGCTTTAACGTCGACCGGAAATTACACACCTTTGGAATTGGTTTCGTAAAGACAAATCACATTTATCCAATGCCGTAGAGAAAAATGCAACGTTCTTCATAAAATTTGTGATAATTTGCAGAGAGCAACGTTACCTTTTGAAAGCAATCCAACAGCGTAAAGAATTGGACGTCGATCTTTTTTTAACACAATCATGCACGTTTTCAATACGTTTTTGGTTATAATTGGTCAGAAATATAATCTAACAGGGCAAACAAAAGAAAACAACGCGCCACATAGCGTAGCCA